ATGAAATTGTATGGGACACATGTGGGTTAACATAGATGAACTAATGTTTGTTTTTCAAATTTTTTTTAAGCATAAAGCCACCGCAACCCTAATGAAAGCTTATCTGCATCTCCAGTTATTGTATTTTAAAGTGAGCACATCATTGCTAACAACAGGTTTCTTGACAAGAACAATGTCTTAATGAAATATTAAACTTATAAACAGAGCCTCTATAGTTCGCCTCTTCATGTTAGGCACATTTCTCTCCTAAGGCAAACACTCCTAGTCAACAAATCAAGTCGCGCATGGTTTGAAAAAATATACATAAAATGAAGAATACGCAGTTGAAGTGTTTGTCTCCTACACATTACAGTGATTCATAGCTTTTATTTATTAAAAAAAAAAATCCCACAGGTGGGATTTAAGACTTTTAGTCATTCTCCCCTTCTCATCTTCCCAGGTCCTAGCGCAGCAGTGAGAATAATCGGAGCTCCTGATTAAACCAGGAAGTAAATCTGCATGCGTGCAATTAAAGTGTCTGCAAGGGCAGATGCAGATGACAGTAACTCAAGCGCTAAGAAACGGGCTTGTGTAGCTGGCAGATTAACTGCTCTGTATTCCATTGCTATGAGGTATGGAAACCGTAGCCATTACTCACTCCCCCCGCGCGAGGCACCAAGGGCGATCGCCGGCCAGCGCGGAGCTGCGCGGGGAAGAGCCCTGCTTCTCCTCAGCGCCTGCTTGCCTTTCATTGCCCCTGCTTCTCAACTTAGCAAACACACTAGACCCAGAAGGGAAACGCGCAAGGGGCTGAGGGAAGGAGGGGAGGGAGAGGGAAAACGCCAAAGCGGCCAAAACTCTCCGACTTGTTCATTAGGGGGTTTTTTGTGTGTGTGTTTGAACATCTGAATGAATCATGTGTCTGTTTTTCATTATTCTCCATATGTGATTGTTCCCGGCTTTGTTCAGTGATTTCTGGCCATTTTGTCATGACTGGGCTTATTTGGTGTTATATATTGCTCCATTACAGAGTGCTTGGTGCTGCTCCGATGCCTCGCTTAGCATCGATGCCACCAACAAAGCACAATCTCAACACGAGAGGTTACGTCAAAAGGTTTCCCTAGTGAACTCCCGAAGCATAGACGACTTCTTTAGACGTGACTGCTTAATTCATAGCAGGGAAAATTCCTCATATAACCCTCCTCCTTAGCACCACGATCAGAGGGGGGAGCCTTTTGAAAATCTTTTTTGTTGTCGTTTGGGGAATAAATTCAACAATTTCAGAATGTTACTCTCATTTTTGGAAGAGCAAAGCTAAGCGGTAGCCTGTCTTAACAGATGTGCACATTGATACACGCCTTGCTTGAAATCGTTTCTTTGCTTTGTTAATCATTTTCCATTTTTAGGTTGACTAAATAGCTTGGGCAAAACACAAAAGATGCTGAAATGTAATTTGCAATCTCCAATTACAGGAGAATTTCTTTATCATCTGTTCAAACTTAATCCATCCCCCTGCACCCTGTGAACGTAACAGGATGCTGCACTCCCGTAACAGAAAATCTCATACTTCATGGAAGATGAGTGAGATCCGGAAGACTGGAAAGGAACGCGGAAAATGTCTGCACTTGGTTTGGTTTTGTTTTTTTAAGGCAGAAGGAATGTGGGTCACCACAAATTAGAGTCACTTTAGCCCACTTCCAACTTCTGGAAAAAATCTTAGAACAAATAGTCCTATAAATCCATTCACAGACCCGAGCGGATACCTGGCGAGCGGTAACACCCGGTACGGATTTCCCCAGAACACCTAACGCCAACGCACCGCCGCGGGCAGCAAAGCGCTCTGCGCTGCGGAAGACCCTGGCTGCCCCTCATAGCACAAACAGGTGAGAGAAGGAGAAGCCAGCTCAAACTGCAGTGACCTGGGTGCCAAACTGACCGGCACATCCCATCTAAAAAAGCAGCTCGCCCTGGCCTCCTTCTGAGGAGTATTTCCTCAAAAGTCCTTTCCCAGGTGTGATCCTATTCAGCCTTTTCAAAACTGCCCTGTCCAATGGATTAGAGAAATCATTTGTGAACTGTGAAGAGGATGCTGAAAAGCTAAGTGTGGCTGGCATTCTATGGATTTAATATTGGAGAATACTCTTAGCAAATTAAGGAATAGCCTGCACAAAATAAATAAATAAAAAGGATAAAATCCAATACAGACAAATGAAAAGGACTAGCCCGAGGAGGGAATAATGGAGAGCTCAAAGGCCGGTGCCCAGTGAGGAATGCCTGGCTGGCGGCAGCGCTGGCAGGAGCGGCCGGAGGCGCTCTCAGCACAGGGCATGCAACACCCTGCGTCCCCAAAAAAGTATATATATGTATTTAAATTGGATGTGTATATAAACACACACACATATCCATTATACAGGCATACAACCAAGAGCACAGAGGACAAATGAAACCACCTTTTGACACTAGCAAAAAGGGTGGGATCGGGGCTGCGTGCCGCTCCGCGCCCGGACTGAGCGCTCCGGGAAGGACATGAGCTAATTAGCCCGGGAGCAGTGGAATGCGATATGAGCCGAAACGCGGAGCTAAGGACCTCTGCGGAGGGAGGAAAACGAGCAGTGTTTAGTCTAAAGAAAAGGCACGGCAGGCACACAGCAGTCTTCAAATGCATACAGGTTTGCTGCAAAGAGGAGAGGAATGAACTGCTCTGCATGTCCACTGGGGATAAGGCAAGAAGCAATAGGTTTAAATTGCATCAGGGGAGATTTAGGGTAGACATTAGGAAATGCTTTATTATCGTGAGGATAGCGAGCACTCTAATGGATTGCCTAAGGAGTTTGCGGAATCTCCATCTTTGGAGGCTTTTGGGAACCGCTTAGACAAACATCTGTCAGGAGCCGTTTAGGTAGAGCTGATCCTGGCCCGAGGCAGCGGAAAGGACCAGACGACCTCTCGAGGTCCCTTCCAGTTCTGACTTCTATGAGCAATTTTTTTTTTTTTTTTACTTTATTTTTTGGCAAACTAACTGAAGAAGAAGGAAACTGTACCCAGCATTTAGAAGGAGCAATACATTCATTCCTCTTTTATGCCACGATGCATACTGTTAATAAATCCAATTATGTTTATGATCTTTTAATGGTACTACTTATGTCATAAAGATCCATCTTTGAAAATACAAATAAATATATCTCTCTGCCCTACAGTATAATAACACAGCATGAAAGTAAACTTTTAAACGCTCCAGCTTGCTGCTATATAGCCCCTACTACAATAATATCTAAACAAACTACAATATCAATGGCACCAAAGCCAGATGTTTATTCTTTTCTAAATTTTCTCATTCATACTCTTTATACTCTTTTCACTTCACGTTTTTCTATTTTCCAAACAAATCTATTCCTTATGTCATTTACCACAGGCAATGGGAATGAAAAGAAGTTCTGATCATGTTGTACCATGTTTGTAGGAGTGGTTAGGGAGACCACTAAAGTGTAGGCTTTTTCCACCAAAATCAGGGCCAACCACAAAGCACACTTCCCCAGACCCACTCCAGCAAGCTCCAGGGGCTCAGCAGAGCACCACGGCGTTAGATGACCAAGATAACAGAGACATATGTATTTCTCTTATGGATTTATTCTAACTAGTTAATATGCCTTTAAATCCAGACCACCTCCATCCTAGTTGTTGCCCATTTCTAGTAATCAAATTAAAAAAGAAAAAGGATGAGGATGACACTTGAGAGGAAAATGAAGTACCCCTCAGTCCTCTGTCATGGTGGGAAAGGGAGAAAAATTCCACATGTCCCTGTCACCAGACAAAATTCTTAGTTGGAGTGCAAGATGGTGAAGACCATCTCAACCCTGAGGTTACCAAGGTAACTCCAAATTTTCCTGTCACAGCATTCCCATTTCTCATCCCTGTTACCCAGTAATTCGGGCCCTTCCAGCAATCCTGTTCCTGAGTACCCAGCTCTTCCCTGCCCAGGAGCCCCATCCCCTGACTCCACTGAACCAAAAGTCCCTCCTGTCTCACAGGGCCCCAGCTAACGAATGCTGTTGCTGGCAGGGAACAGGTAAACACACTTCTACAGGCAGCAAGAACATCTTTGCTGCAGCTGGCAGCATTCTGTCCCTTCTCATAATTTCCACAGATGTCTTTCTCTGCTTCTCCTCCTCACACCCTGTTTTGCCACTGGTGAGATATTTCTGCATGACAATATTTTACTTTATAAAAAATCATATAGAAATGCTGCCCAGAATGTGCTTCTTATGAGAAGGATCCACTAAAGTGGATCCTATTACTCCCAAAAGATTGTGTACATCGCTCATGTGGCACCACAGAGTCATTTAAAACAGAGCTCCCACAAAATGATGGCTCTTCAGACCAGCAAACAAATAATAATTTCCATCTTGAGATATTTCTACATATCTTAGACAATATTTATCCTTATAGATACAGCTAAATAGATATACATACACATACAAGTATCTGGCATGCTATATTTCATGAAAAGAAGAAACGCTCTGGTATATTAGCAAAGAACTGAAATTGGAAGAGGAGTCATTTTCATATCTCAGCATCACAACTTGCAAATCTATCTTTGTTAGAAGGAATATTTTCTTCCTCCGACAGTGCAGGCCACGACACGACAACATTAAAAAAAAACACTAATATTGCTTGTGAAAGTTTTCCCAAAGGTTTTTTGTTTTCATATAGGAAATCAATTTGCATCACTGATGATATCATTCAAATCAGACAGCACTATGTGGTTAGAAGGTAATTTACTTTTCTGCCGAAGCAATTTGATACTTGTTCTGATTTGTGATTTTCATTTTGTTTGTTAATGAAAAAAATTAATGAGAAATGTTACTGGAAACACAACTCAAAGCATTGCCATTATTAAATATGTTTGCAATATACCGCACATTATGTTGATTGCACAGTTGGAGCCAAAGCCTTGGCAGCCAAGCCACCCGTCAATCACTCAAACAGACACTGAACTCGCAGGGAGGACTTTCTGCACATACCTTTGCACTGATTTGTGTTCTTGTCAAGGATTGCCTTCGTTGATACAATTTTCCCATACCTAAAAATAAAGCAAAAAAGAGAAATTCATGTTGTTTTTCTATAACTATATACATATAGATGTGATTTTTACATATGCACGTGCTTACACTCATGTTCCAGTTTAGAAACTTTTGAGATTTATATACATCTCCTAACTCTTCCCAAGTAGTACTTATTTGAATATATTTTAGTCCTCATAGATAATGCAGTACTGCAAGGCAAATCCCTATCATTAACATGCTGAGGGGCAATTTGGATGCCATTGGGCAGCTGTAGCTTGTTGCATCAAACAACTAGTCCAGATCTTCACCTTAAAGAGATTAAAACTTAAAGAGCAGGTTTAGCAGTCAATGTCTCTTAACTCTCATTAAGGAAATTGCAGAAAAGGATTATTTAAATACAATTTAAATTCTGAATGCAAGAATTGAAGGAGGAAAAAAAAGTAATATTATTTCTCAAGTCATTATTATATTTTAACTTCAGAGTTATTGAAGAGTTTCTGCCTAGAATACCAAGACTTCATTTTGCCATAATAATAATAATAATAAAGTATTCTAACTCTTTCAGCTTTCATTTGGAAAGCTGTTCCCATAAAACACAAGTTTTGTGATTACTGAGAGGCTAAGGAGCCCCCATCCTTGGAGATACCCAAAGCCTAACTGGACATGGGCAACCTGCTCCAGGCTGACCCCACCTCAGCAGGGGGACTGGACCAGACCATCTCCAGAGTCCCCTTCCAACCTCAACTATTCTGTGATTCCCTATCACTACACAAAAGACTACAATAAAATTATACCTCCTAACGGCAAATCAGCATACTAGATTATGTTCCATAGGTGAATCAACATCAAATGGACAATAAACCACCTAGGTATATGACAGAACAATTTTTACTTGGTTAATCTTTATTGAGCAATACAAATCTGGTGTCTGCAGCTTTTGCCTAAAGTTTAGCAACCAGGATGTGAAAGACTTTGCTGCAATTCTCCTCTCTGCCTAGGGATGAAAGCTGAGCCCATCTATCCTGCTATGCAGAAGAGGGTGCCAAGAGCAGCCAGAGCACTGTGCTGCACGTTCAAGGATGTGCCCTGCTCTCCCTTGCTAATCTGTCCAGCACATCCACTGAAACAGGGGGAAAGAAATTAAAAAGGAAGAGAAAGAGAGAACCAAAGACAGACCAATTTGGAAAATGGCTCCTTTGGGTATTTGTCTTGGCTATAAAGAGGACTTAAACGTCTCACAAGAGAGAGAAGCAGCACCAGGAGAGACTAAGGACAGCTTGCCTCCAATCCATGCTAGTACCAGGATGGAAAGCTTAAGGTAATTTAATGCCCCATAGACAAAGTGCTCGGTCAAAATTTCCACATAGTAGATAGCACATTGCCACTTAGCTTGTAAAGACCACATCTTCTTCATGTTTTACCCTATTTTTTTCTAATAATGCAAAGTGAGACCTTCTATTTTCACCAATATTTTCTTTAATAACCAGCGGAAGTATTTGCTTCCATTTGATTTTCATTCTGAGGTGGAAAACTTCTTTTTTATTTCAGACAGAAACCATTCTGAAAGACAGAGAACGTGAGGAGGGCAAACTGAACTAAAGATCCTACTGGTCTGTGCACTGTACCTTGAGCCCCAGTTAAACTTGCTCTGTGGATAGGTGGGATTTTGTGCTCCAAAAGCAGGTGTATTTCCATCACTCAATCCGTCACGATGGGTTATATGGGCAGGTAGCTGAGGCTCTGCTTTGCCCGGCTACGCTTCAGAAATGCACACAGCAGCTATAACGTTCACCGTGGAGATCACAGGCTTTGCTAACCTCAAGTGCTTCAAGAATTGGGGTCTTTATACTCCCTTATGTTCGTTTCACTTAGTTATATAATTCTTCACGATAATACCTGGAGTTGACTTTGGCCTCGGAGACGTTGGAGCACATACCTTAGGAAGGCATAGCCAAATCCCCTGCCGCGATGATTTACGACTCCTCTGTGGGCCAACCTGCCCAGGAGGAAATTTGGCCCATGCAGTGGCTCTTCGTTTATTTGATTTAAAATCAAATGCATGAAAAACATGTAAAAACATGCCTGCCTTGTACAGTAAAGGGCCTCTGACAGATACATGGAAAAAGAATCCAACAAAAATCAGTGGCTAACCCACAACAACCTCAAATAAAACCCAACCCCTACCTAAGCTTCCGCCAACAAAAACTAACACCCGGCCTCTATTTTAGCTGGGCCACTCCTCATAAATTGATGTGCTGCTTCATCCAAGGCATGTGAGAAGGCAGAGCTACCGTGTCTTGCCAGCACAGACAGACATCCACGGTTCCACTGCTTTTATCCCCAGCTTCCCAGAGTTCCTTGCTGCATACCCTGATCCTGCAAACACCCAGTTATTTGGGAGATTTCATTCGTGAAGGAAATTCTGCTCACTTCGGAAGAGGTTTCTCAAGCACATAAGGTTACTGCACACGTACGTGTTTGCAAAAACAGACGCCACAGCAGTAAAAGGTGCCCCAGGAACACGCAACTACAGGCAATCAGCTGCATGTAGGTCTTTCACTTTAATCTACGGCTATAAACTTTGAGCTCTACCACAAGAAAGTAATTGGAATTAATTGGGAGAGTTTTCCTAAATATTTCAAGCAATTATTTTACAGCAATCAGAACATCAGCTGTGATGAAGAATGTTAACATGTGTGCTGCATGCAATCAGGCAGACACTTCATTCCTACAAATATATAATATTTCTTTGTTGCACATGTGGAGAGGGGTATAAAGTTACACTTCCTTCTCAACGCTGTTTGGCTTTCCGTTTGTGTGAGCGTTATAAGAGTGACTCGATCCACCCTGAAGTACCAAAAATGTATTCCTCAATTGCAACTTCATAGAGATAAGAAGAATAAAATGTTGCTTATGAGCTGCCCTCTAACTCTCTCGTACTTAAATGGCAAGTACTATAAAATCCAACAGCCTGCACTTCTGCTCTACAAAGTATTGGCATTATTAATGCAAAAACTACTAGGCATGCATGAGAAAACAAGAGCACTATCTAATTTCCCCCAGAATTACGGTGCACGGAGGTATCTTTCAAAGCTTTTGAATCAAAAGCTCTGGCCAGAAAATGATAATTGTGGAACTGAGTTCACCTCAATACCTTATTACCAACCCTTCAATATAATGACTGTATCATTAAGGTAATCCTACTGCATTACGGTATCAGAGGGAATAGATGTTACGAATCTGTGAGATGGCTACCTCCGAAAACTACTGAAAATCTGAGCTGAAATTTCCATTCAGAGGAATTTCTTTCCAGCTTTCTAGACTAATGCCTTGTTTCTTACATTCTTCCCACGCTGTTATTTAAGTGTAGCAAAGCACAAATACATCTTTCACTTGCTTATTTTTAGTCCCTTTAATCCCTTATTGCAACAATGCTTTTAGGATGATTTTCAGGTAATAATTTTATTTTGAAACCAGTTGATTGCAGGTATGAAAGAGCTTCCACACCGAGCACGGCACGGTGAGGGTGTGAGTGAGGGATGACCGAGGACGCTGGGGTGCAGCCCCAGCCCCTGCTCTGCCCTGGGGCCCCCCGTGCCGTCGCACCCCGCGTTTGAGGGCTGCTCAGCCCAGATGCTGTGCAAAGATGCAAGCTGTGCAGAAAGAAACCCTTAGCGGGCGTCGCGGCTGCCGTATCAATAGTTCATTTCCAGGCTTTGCAGGCGGCCCATGGGTACTTGTATTTCAGGCCCGGGTAGAGTGATAGGTCCCACGTTAGTTATTTGATAACTGCTGTCAAAACAGAGACTGTGGAGGAAGCAGCTCAGCTGCAAGAGATACAGCCACAGCAAGGCAAGAAATCCTGCCCGCTGCGTGTCCCGAGCCCTGGCATCCGGTGCTCTGGAAGGACCTGCAGAACTGGAGCGAGGGCAGGTGACCCATTCCTGCCAGGGAATGACCACCTGCCAGGTGGCCTCCATGCCACCCGGACACGGCAATTCCCGCACAGCCCAAAACACGGCCAGCAGCTCGGACCCGCAGGAAACACAGCTTTAACCACAAGGAGGGAATTCCTCACGGGGTTTAAGTCAAGTTTAAATTGGGGATTATGCTGATTGAAAATTTTAAAGGGGGATCTAAGTCCAAGTAACTTGTTCACAGAAGTCTTCCCTGCTTTTTTAAACAAATGCAATTTCCGAGTTTAATAATTACATCCCGAGCGTTTGGTTCACTCAGGGTCTTATGCATTGCTCAGAGCAGAATTTGCCCTACTGAAAACAGCCACATTTCTATGCATTTAGGTAATATATACTGTTATCTCAGAAACTTTTGTACTGGAATGAATTATGACCAGAAGTAATTGGATTTAGATAAGCAACTTTGAGGCTCTTTCATTCTTCTGAATTAATATATGAAGAGCATAACTGGGTTTATGTTGTTTAAGAACAGACTCTATTAGGAAAATCATGAATTTATGAAATTTTCTTCTCCAAGAGGTGTTGTCCTAATAGATACACTACTAAGCGAACTAAAGCCATCCAAATATGCACAAAAGGGAAAGTCACAAAGAAAGAAAGTTCTAATTTGCATGATTATTTCCGGGCATTTTATCTATCACACGACACATTCAATGCTTGCATTTTTTTTTTTCCTCTAAAATGTAACACTTGATCTCCTAGCCATTGAGAAAGATCGGGCTGGTTTGTTATTCTGGATACTAATTTAAAAAAATGGAAGGTTAAAACCCAATTACCTTTTCATCCATACAGCGATACCACAACAGAACATATAGCCCTCAGAGCACCTTTTGTTTTCACACACCTGTACAAGTTTTGTGGAGCAAAGGGAGGTGATGGCAGGGAACCTGCTGCTTATTGGATCAATAAAGCCTATCCTTCTGCCCCAGACAGTACGAGTTCAATTTTTCTTGCCTTCTTCACTTACTTCAGTCCAGCTGTCAACTTTACAGAAATCATTTCTTCATGGAATATAATAAAAGGCAGTAAAGTAATTTAAAATAACATCTCGTCCAAGCTTTCAAAAAACATCACAATAAGGGGTAGGGGTGGAGGGAGGCTCTTAAATTCTTTGGTTGTACATCTAAAACAGAGCCTGGACTTCCAAAGGGGCTACTCGGTCATTAACAGGGAATCCTGCAAAGGGTGGGAGATCTTCAGCAATTTTGGCGCTCAGGCCACGTGTTTTGATTCTTCTTCTCCCAACGAAGTTAGAAGCCCAGTTTTAAGCACACGGTAATGAATATTGGGACACATATGAGGAATGAATTGTCAAGAGAAAGCAAGCTGGTTAAGTGTTGAAGGAACATGCTCATATTGAAGACTATCCTCTAGTACTGATTTTTACTGTCAGGAAAAACTGAAAAGATTTGGTTCATGTATGTGCTTACCTTACCCACCATCAGCCCGCATTCAATGAAAACTATGTTTTTCATAAGAATGAGAGGGGGGAAAATAAAAGCTACATTAAATATCTAAGTTAATTACATGTACGTATCTATGAACACTGTTATTACTTTAGACAAATAAAAGACAAGATCAAGCAATTCACCTGCATAACAGCTCCATGTCCAGGAGAAAATACCTAAGAGGTTACTTCAGAGGACGGGTCTTGCCATTTACATTACACGACATTTACAGCTCATATTCATAAATCCTGCTTTTCAGGAGAAAGTGCAAGTACCATTTAGCTCAAATCACAGGTTTCTAATCCAGCACTGGAGCAGCTGTGATCCTTTTTCTGTTCTTTTAGCAAACAACATAGAAAACTGGCAGTTTTAGTGAAGTTCACTTGTAAAATTTTACAATTTAGGGTGAGGAGTACTGCAAATGGCCTGCTTAAAATGTGCGCAGAAATGCCTACAACCAAAATATCCCGTCATTCTTTCCTTTCCAGCGTTCCTAAAACGCTCAGTGTCCCTAAGACACACAGGAACATGTCCTACATGCAAATTAGAAATATATGCACAAGGCAGATATTTGCCAAATCATTCTTCTAATTGAAACTAATCTGCATTCACATTTCCAAATGTTTAATGCGCACCCACTTCTAGAAAAACAGTCCCACATGAAAGTTCATTGGCTCTGAAGATTTACTGTAATTATTTTCACAATTTGGGAAACTAAGTCCGTGTACACAGAAGTTACACTCTGAATGAAATTCAAACAGACACTATTTCTGGAAATGTAAAGCAATTAAAGCTTCACACCTGCATGAAGTATATCACCTTGGTGTGGAAAGATGATGTTCCCTATAGCTTGGTTCCTTCCCTTGCCAAAATAGAGATCTTTCTGCCTGTATGTAAATGAAATTAAGGAGCTTGATCCAACACATGCAGAAATCAAAGATATTTTTTTCATTGCCTTTGGTAGGCACAAGATCAATCCCTACTTACGGCATCCACAACACTACAGATTTGTCATAATCTTGATATCCGAGACAGAATAAAATGCCACTTGCCTCCCCACGGAAGTCTGACATTTTGCTTTTTCACTAGTGCATTTTTCCCACTTTTTTTTTTTTTTTTTTAAGTAATCAAGACATTTGGCTCTAAGTTGCCATTTCATTTTAAAACGTTTGTTTTGAATTAACACTATACATTATATTTATATGTCTTTATGTTTGACACAAAGCTACTGAAGCTATTTAAAACATGCTTACATTACTGTATATCATGTTTAAATTAAAATTCTGATGTTAATATTTTAGCTTTGATAGAAAGCTATGTTTTTCCCTCACAGTTCTGCCATGACAAATAACCAGTGTTAATAATTAATTACCAAAATATTTTACAGTTGCTAAATTAAGTATGGAAAACGAAATTCATGCACAAATTAATAACTGTGATTTCATGCAGAACACTTCAGTCCGTCTTGTGGGCCATCATTAAATCTTCAACTACTAATTATTCCGTATCCAAGAATTCAGATGTCCTAAAGAAATGCAACTTTTGTTTGCAGACACTCAGTAGCACCACTAAATTTTCCGCATAATGATAGGATGCATTATTTGGAAGGATGCTGAGGGATGTGAAACCCTTCACTGAATATGGTGTGGTTTACTGCAGCCTGTCACAAAAAGCAAGGCCAGGCATAACCCGTTCTCTGAAAATTAGGGTGGGGGGAAAATTATCTCATTCTGTGAAGACATCGCTCATTGGTGTTAGGGCAAAAAATCAGGCAATCTTCAGCCTGCAGACTCTCCCCTACTCTACGATTCAATTTTCTCAGATACTGTGGAAATACCCCCGCTTCCACCATACCATTCTGGCACGCAAACCTTATTTATTTTGTATGCTCTTGCATGCCGGGCTGCCTTGTATCCTCCCTCTCCTCCACGGGGTCGCCCGCTTCCGGCGGATTCCCTGTGAACCGGGCAGCGGCACGGAGCCGCATGCCACGATATTCCTCTCCAAAGGATCCAGCCATTCCACAATGGCCTCATTATTCAAGGGAACTCGGAGCATTCGGTTTTGGGCAGATTTCCTGACATTTCGCTAAAACAATTTACTCTTAAAAGAGTTCTGTGACTGCAACATAATGCACAAAAAAATACGCATCGCAGGCAGATGGTACCGCTCTAATAACAGCCAAGAAACTAAAAGGGATTAGAAAGAAAAGGAATTAAAAAGAAAAGCAAGAACCCCAGCTACCACCAGGGACTGTGAACTCAAACTGATAATTTAAAGCTGAAGTATTTTATAGAGTTCACACAGAGGCCATTTGAATCAAATGCATGAGCGAGACTTCTTGAGTTCACAGAGCTCCCATTTCATTATTTACAAATTATAAAATTCCAGGTACTTCGGATGTCTTTGGACATGACCTTGCTTCTGTCGGGACAGTTTCTTAAGATTTTTACATTTAAAAATATATATTTTAAGAACTATATCACAGAATTGTTTCTTTTTCTGTGGTATATTTATTTTAAACCTTTTATTTTCAGGGCTGGAATGTCGGTTATATTCATTTGCCACACGCTGAACTTTGACACAAGTGGTGCAAAGAGCACATTCTTCTCTGCTTGAGATTTTTAAGGAGAAATAACAAGAGCATAATTTTCAAATTTCACAATTGCATGGGCAAAAGTGTACACTGCCTGCCCAGAACTTGGCCAGAACAGCTCTGGTTTTGAGTTTCTTTGAATTTTACTTAATTCCACCAAAACCAAAGATTCTTAGCCCATTTTATTTAGGCAACTGCAGCACAAGGACAGCCTCAGGACAGGGTGTGGAAATGGATTTGATAAGCTACTTGTTCACGATATTTTTGAAATACTCATGCACATGTTTGACTTTAGGCATGTCAGAAGCCCCAGTGAACTTAAATGGGACTATTCATGTTTAGCAAGGTAAAAGCTCATAACTTAACATGCTTATTTGGCGAGGAAAGTTTGCTCTACAGCCTCAAATCGGGAAACATCCTTACCAGGAACACGTACGTGTACGTTTCCAGTTTGCAAGCGCTTTGCTTTCCCCAGTGCAAGGCCTGTAATAACTATGATAATTATATCTAAAAAGACCAATCTGTTCTTGCTGGCAACTTATCGCAACTCCCAGGTCAGGGCTGCAAAGTAGGAATTCTCAAAAATCTGAAATGATCAGTTTGCCAAAAATAAAATTCAAGATAGATGAAGCTGTCCATCAAGTCATATATATGTATGTGGATGCAAATAATGTTTTTAACTTTTTAATGTTTTCCAAATGCTTTAAAACCCTGAGTATAGACACAGCTTTTAATGAAGATTCGCCAACTGCAAAAATGCATTTACAGATTTAAAAATATATTTAGAGCCACTGCCTATCATAAAAATAATTATGATTTATTGCCCAAATGAAGATGGACATAATTGAATGTATCAGCCTCACTTTAGCAGCCTGCAAATATTAAAACCTACGCTCTGGGTCAATCTCTTGGTTGCTGGAAATGTGGTGCCCAGGTTCCAGGGGCTGTGCCAGTTTACCCCAACTAAGCAGCTGCCTCGTTATTTTCCATCTCTTAGTACTGAAGTGACACTTAAGATGACATGGAGGGGAATACGGCACGGTTAGCACATCTCATAGCACTGTGCTCGACAGGCGAACCTTTCAGAACCAACGAGCCCTAGACCCACAGAAGCCTGCAAGGGACCACACACTCGATCAAGCTTTGGGCTGGACATTCTGGCAGTGCATCTCCTAAAGACGAAAAGCCAAGCTGGCAATGCTGAGCTCCTCTTCAGTTCAGCTTAGCCCCAGAACGAAGCCTACATGGACAGGAAAGCCATGGGATTCACCAAGTAAGTGCACTGCCTGTATGTCCAGTCTCTCCTGTCCTTAAAAGGACACCTAGCTGGTCTCCCTACACACAACTCTGCATGGAGAGCTATGAAAAAGACCTGCCCGTAACCCACCTCATTTGAGGCAGACACACAGCAACGTGCAGAACCGAGCGAGAATTTAAATATTTCATCATCCTGCTGGGAGATTTTTTCCCAGGAAGAAATCATTCACCAAGAGAGTCAGTGGCCACATCTTGAGCCCTGATCAGTAATGCTGGATTTGGAAGCAAATTACCTTCCGTTGGGCTTGGAAGCCCTCAAGAACAGTCTTTTGTATATTACTCAGACACCTTCGAACTCAGTAGGTAAATGAGATATGGTACTCAATCCATGTAAAGATTTACATGAAAAACAGACCTCATGCTCAATATTGGACATATTTTGTGAGAGCGAGCTGAATCCATTTGGATAAACCCACAATCTTTCTGTTTACTGGAAAAGGTGCATGGCACAGACAACTGCTCTTATTCATTAATAAACTAAAAAGTTATTAACTTTTAATACTAAAAATAAGCAAAAAATATGTTTGAGATATGTTTTTACTTTGTTTGTATCTATTGAGCTTTTGTGATACACTCAGGGCATGTTTTCAGGCCTCTCTTTTCAACCATGAAGGAGAGAAACCTGCATTTAAAAAAATTTGAAAGCTGAGATTCCATCTTATCGCATGCCTCAGGATCTAAGGGCTTAAGAAACAAATATTGTGAACTTTGCAATAAACTTCTGAGGGTTGGCAATACCAAGGGCAACATCTTCATCAAATACTAGTCAACATCCTCAGCTAGGGGAAAAATGGTGCTTGGCAGCTGCTTGTTTCCAGTCCCAGGAAACAACCTTGCAAAGGAAAAAAATAAATAACAGCAATGAACAAATACATTTTGCTTTCTGTTCCCTGCTTTATAAAAAGAGCTGGATTTAAAGGGTTATAAAAGCTCCAGTGCTGACACCACTCACTTTACTGCTATCATACACATAAATGGCAATTTTATCCTACACAGATAAATTATATTTCAGGCAGCTGAAATATAATCTGCCAAATGTGCTGGGTTTAAAAATTAATAACACAAAATTTACTATGAACACCTGTAGTGGCAAGTAAATTGCTTCTTGCACAACCCATCACAAGCAACGTCAAAGCATAGAAACAATATAAAAGGGACATACGGTCAAAGAAACATCCTACTAGAAACAGACGTATGGCCAGCAAATATTTATAAACAGGAGCACCTACTCGGTACAGGGCGCAGCGCCCACAACACAACTCATAAGTTGAGCACGTGCAGTATTAGCCTCCTGCAGCATCTTATTCCACAATGGCCACTTACTCAGACAACGGGAGTTTTCTCCCCTTTCCCTTCCTGCTGTTCAAGAAAGGAAGTTCTCCAAAGGGCAACATCTTGAGCAAGAAGCTACAGGAAAATAAAAAGGTCTACAACAGCTATTCGCTTCCCAGGCGCCTCTGCCCTTCGCTTTCTTTGGGCTTGCTCCAGAGACCACTGAGATCAGAGAAAGACCTACGGATTTCCCCTGTTCTGCAACTTCTGAAAGCCATTAAAGATTCCTCTCCATGCAGCATTCCATTTTGTAAGACCATTTCCTAAGTTCAAACTTCGGTTTCTTTTTGATTCCCTCATTCTGAGGACAAAAGCTCCTTTGTTTCGGCTCCCATGTTTATGGGAATGTTATCTTATCTCCAGTTTAGCCTTTAATACCAAGCATAGTCAGAAAAGAATCATCCTCTTGTTGGAAATTTAAACATTTGTGTATGCTAACATTGTTAAGACACATGTATACATATAAACATACTTATAAAATCCAAGTAAACTTATTCTTACTAAAGATGTTCGAATGATATTGAAAACCAGTTATAATTTACTTATCTCCTTTCTGAAATAGTTTCCCCAAATCCATTGTGAGACTCAAATGACTGCATCCTAAGCAAGACAATCCTCCTTCAACTTGTCTGCAAGGGTAGAGCAAGGCTTACACAGCAGGAAAGGAGGGGAGAAGCAAATGGTGAGCGTAGAGGGGAGGACTTTCCCAGAGCCACCCAAAGCTGAGACACGCTCAGCGCCACGGCCAAACACTGTGATTCGGAGAAGAAACAAACCTGCAAGCATGGGGAAAAGCAGAAGAAAATGACCCTGGCCCAAACGCTCAAGGGCACGTGGCGAGGGACGCAGGTCTACACCACGGTCACGCGTGGGCTGCAGGAGAGCACGCGGCGACCTCGCTAGCGTTCACCTAGCTCACCTAGACGTTCCTCGAGGAGGAGAAAAGCACAGCAGTGTCCACCACTTCATCAGTTCTGCACGTTAGCGCCCCATGTAAAAGTAGAGAGCGCTTTAAAAAGGCATCGTCTTGCAAATGCCATTTGCCTGAAGCCTAGGCAGTCTTGTCCCACAGCCCCCATGTCAGAGCTTCTCCAGCATGCTGTTCCCTCCCTTATCCCTAAAATCAGCATGTTCCAGATCTGACCAGTTTGGGCAGTTAAAAAAAAAAAATCCACTTTGCACAGAGAACCTTTTGATTTATTTGTCATTTTGGAAGCCTTTGTATTTTTAATCCCTGCTCTGCTGATCCTGCCTCGCCTCCCTCCTCCCCTCCATGGAAATTTGCTGCTCTTTACAAGCCCAGCTCTCTGCAGAAAATTGATTTCCCCCAGGACACAGCCATGCCACTGTTCTATGCATGGCTACTAATGACCATCCCGCTCCGCAGAGACCGCTGCCGTGGCACTTCGCCCAAGCTCCATAGCACTGAGAGCGCCCAGAGGGAAAACAGGAACAACCTGCAAGCTTAGCTAGAGGTTCCCATCTCCAGGAACTATCCCATACCCATTCTTCAAAGGAGCTTTTACGAGAATAAAATAATTCTCATTGCTTTCGGTCACTCTTTGCTTCTACTGCTCTAGATTGAAGTGTGTAAGTCTCTGAAGAGTGAGGCCCAGCAGCAATTCCTTCCAGCGCGGAGGAGCAAGGGAATGAACTCTAAACTCAAGGGGCATTAACACTACAGTGAAAGGTGCTCCTGGAGCCCGTGTTGGGGTTACTGTGGGAGCTTTGGGTGCTTTTACGTTAGGATATTCAAGGGCAGGGAGGATTCCAGCATAGCCTGCAAAAGACACCGAGGAATGCGGGAAAAACTCTGGGTGCTGCCGTTCTTGCCGTTTTAGCTGCTTCACAGGCAGTTTCCCTGTCAGCTTCTCCATCTCCGCGAGATCTGCGATCTCACCTTTGATTGCAGTCAAGCCCCAACGCCAGCATGACAGACAGCTCCTCCTTTGGCTCTTGCTTGGCTCTGATGCCAATAGGTAAAATTTAATGTTTCCACTCACGAAATTGCTTTTTCCCTCTCTATGAACATCCCATCGATGAACTTCAACTCCTTGATCCCCTCGAAACCAAGGGGGGTGCTTGCAAGAACTTGCCCTTGTCAAGGGCTTGCCCTGGCACAGAAATGCGAAGGGGAAGCAGAGGAGCAAGGGAGGGTACACGACACCTCATCTCCTTCCCTTTCCAGCTGGGGATTTTTCTAGG